TTGTGGAGTCACAGCCCTTAGTAAAAATGCTAATTGAAAATGGTCAAATTCTGATAAGGGTTCAGGAGTCAGTTTTTGCAATTAATTACAACATGAAAGCAGTTTGTAAGGAGGCATTCTCTAAAAGCCTTTTTTTAGATAGTACCTTTATAGTTTTGAGTACTTAATGTGTTATGATTTAAGTTGATTTCATTTGTGTATCCTTTTTGAGGTAGAAAGCTTTCAAACCATATAGTAGGGTGGACTTTCTCCTTTCCTCTTTCCATTTTGTTATCTATTACTGTGCTGTACACATTCTGAAGTTGACATGGAGCTGATTGTATAGACTGTTATCATAATAAGGTGACAAAAATGTGATTGCTTGCTAAATTTGCATCTTTTGGTGAAAATATACTCAGTCATATGATATTTTAGCTTGTACAACTAATTGACATGGATTTCAATCCTCATGTTGTATGGACATTGTAATTGTTTTCCTCCATAGTCTAAGTTGCCTTGTCCTCCAACTCTCTCATCCTTAAGTTATTGTTATCAGTTTGATATCAATACAGATCTCTCTTTAAGAGAACACAATATTCAAAGTAGACATACTCACTCTATTTAGTAAGAGAAACTATTTTGTGATTCCACGAAGACCTCAGAGGATTGTTTTACTATAAAGTTTAAAGATAATTTTTGGAATTCATCCAGCCTCAGTGGCTCCAGAAAATCAGGCAGATGATCGTACCACATTATTACTGAAGTCTGTTGATACTGAACACAGACTTTGAGTAGCACTTTTGTTGAGTAATCCTATTACACAGAAAAGTTTCATTTTTCTCTGGAGATGCTCATTATATTTACTTGTATTTCCACTTTACACATAGCCTGACTATCTGGAATCTGCATTTTTATGATATTTCTGTTTTGTTTTGTTTTCATTATAATTTTAATGGAAGTTTTCAGCAAAATTGCATATTCATCCATTCCTTGTTGAACATTTTGCTCTCTATCCCCCTAGATCACTTTTTAAAAAAATATTAATTCATTGTTGCATAATTTCCTCCCTCTTTCCCCCCACCCCTAGTCCCCTTTGCGATACACTTCTTATCCCGGACTCTTGTCATACAGATAATACTTAATGATATATTCCTTTAAACAATTCTTTCCTTCATCTGTTCAAATGCAGTGCTCATTATTGTCAATCATATTCTTTTTAAACAGTTCGTTCCTTCATCTGTTCCAATGTAGTGTTCATTATTCTCTTTTTTCTTAGTTTCTGCCCAATCCAAATCCCCATGTCAGTTCTGTTTTATAACAAGGTTATGCAGTGTTTTGTCCTTTTGTGACAGATATTTCATCAATATGATGTCCTCCAGGGTCACCCATATTGTGTAATAGTTTATGAGTTCCTTGTTTTTCACTGCTGTGTAGTATTCCATTGTGTGAATATACAATCTTTTTTTATCCATTTATTTGTTGATGGGAACTTGGGGTTGCTTCTATTGCTTTGCTATTGTGAATAACGCAGCAGTAAACATGGGTGTGCATATATCTGTTTGGGTGACAGCTCTGGTTTTCTTTAGGGTAAATTCCTAAAGAATTGTTTTGTCAAATGATATTTCAATTTCCAACTTTTTGAGAAAGTACCATACCACACTTTCATAGTGATGGCACCATTCCAGTCTGAAAGTGGCATGGTAGAATAGGTAAAAGGTAAAGTCATTTACTAGCAGTTTGAACTTTTGATGCTCTTATATATATATAAAATGTATTTAATATATATGTAGGAAACTTAGCTCAGTGACTGGCATAAGTGAATGTTTTGGGAATGTTAGCAGCTAGCATTAGCATCACCTGTAGGTATACCAGTGTGATTTTCAGGGCTATGAGTTGATGCACTTACACTCAGAATAAAAATCTTATCTGGACTGGCTTGTATGTGAGGCAAAACATTTGCACAGGTTTGTGTGAATGCAAAGGGACCCAAAGTATATGGAGGCAGAAGGTAGAAGGAGTTGTTAAAATTTTCAGAATGTAAATTGTCTTTTTTTTTCGTAGTAGCATTATCTTAGTACAACTAATCTTGGTCTTTAATCACTGAATTTCTAAGTCTTATTGAGTCAGTTGTGGAGTATTAGTTGCTGGTAGGTTCTCTTCCGTGATGCTGCTGGCATCTTCTGGTGATGGCTGGGAACTGGATACCTGAGTGCAAGCCTCCAAACCGTTGTTTACTGGTTCAGACACTAGTACAATATTTTGGCTGCCTTGTTTCTCAGAGTATGTGTTGAAATTTTTGGTGTGGCAATTGGGGTTAGTTATTATCTTTACCCTAATAAGTTTTTCTGAAAATCCCAGAAATGTCTTGAGTAGACATTTCCCAGATGCAGTTCAAGGAGGAATTAATAATATCAAATGTGACAGAGATCTGCTGTAAGTTGAGGGTGGGATTTGTCCATTTGAATTTGTAATAAGAATGATCTTGGCAAGAATAACTTCAGTAAAGATGATGACCAGTGATGGTGGCTTAATGTTTAAATAGGAAGTAAAGAAGTAGAAACTGAAAAGATAGCAGCACTTTCAAACAGTGACTGAAAGGGGAAGGGATGAAATGGGAGCTAGAAGGAAATTTGTAAGGTCAAATAGAGTTTTGTGTGGTAAATTACAGAACAATATAATTGATTTCACATGCAAACAAGATTCTGCTAAAGATTATCCAAAAAAGACTGGCACTGCCAAAAGTCCAGGCTGGGTTTAGAAGGGTTTGTGGTATTAGGAATATTGTAGCTAATGTTAGATGGATCTTAGCCGAAAGCAGGGAATACCAGAGGAATGTCTATCTTTGTTTCATTGATTATGCAAAGGCATTTGACTGTGTGGATCATAACAAACTGTGGCTGGCTCTAAGAAAATGGAATACCAGAACACTTGATTGTGCTAATGAGAAAACCTATACTTGGACCAGGAGGCAGTTCTCAGAATAGAGCAAGGAAACACTGCATGGTTCAAAATTGAGAAGGGCATATGCCAGGGATGTGTCCTGTCTTATCTTCATACCTTTTCAAACCTGTATGCAGAGCAGATTATCTAGAAATTTGGGCTCTGTGAGAAGTGTGGCATCAGGTTTGGTGGAAGATCCATCAACAGTCTGCGTTATACAAGTGACACAACCCGGCTTGCTGAAACTGAGGAGGACCTGAAGCGTTTGCTGCAGAAGGTCAAGGACTGCAGCCTTCAATACGGATTGAAGTTCAACATCAAGAAAGCAAAGATTCTCACCACTGGGCCAATTGGCAGCATCAGGATGGATGGTGAAGAGATTGAGATTGTTCACAGCTTTAGTTTGCTTGGCTCCACAGTCAACA